CATATGCACATATATATATATATATATATATATATATATATATATTGTTCCCGAGGTTGGTAGTGGATTTATAACATCGACCTGTGTATTATTTATCTCTATTCATACATCGGGATGTCCTTCTCGCTGCAGCATGATGATGCGCAGACAGACGGGGGTCAGTTGGGTTCTCGACTTCCTCAGGAGCAAAACACTCTACCGCGGAATACACAAATATCTGTTCAAAATTCTCAAACGGAGCAATATTTTCCTGGTCTAGAGAATATGTCGCAGCTAAGCGATATTTCTGAAGTGAGTAGTGCCTCGGGTTTCGTTTCTGTTTCACACAGAGACTCTGCGTCTATTCCCGTATTGCCTACAACAAGCACATTGAGAACTTCGGCTGTGGGAGAGTGTGCTATGTCTGGACCCGAGGTCGAAAAATTGTTTGACGCTATTGAGAATAACTTTTATGAATACATTGAACATCAGCTGAGTTCAAATATGGTCAGTGCGAATGCAACCAATGTACAAGGCTCGCGCCCATTGATTATCGCAGCGAAGATCCCTATACTAAGAATTATGAGGCTTTTGATTAACTATGGAGCGGATGTCAATCAAACCGACAATAATGGTAACTTTTCTTCCCTTTTGGGGGTTTGCGTTCTCGTCAAGCATGTATGTTTTGATCCAATTTCTTGTACTTATTCTTCGGCTACCAAGTGTATATTAGGTGCGCAACGCTGACAATGAAGCATTGGCACATTTTTAATTACATTATTTTAGCTTATATATTGAACGTTTGCATGATTACAATTCGTATAGATGTATGTACGTACTAATTAGAAACACGACCACATCTGCCATGTAGGATGGACCGCTATGCACTGGGCCGCTCGTAGGAGCAACCGGGAAGCTGTTAAGCTGTTGCTGGACGTTGGTGGGAATATGGACCTAATAACGAGGGAGGGTAAATCGGTGAAAGATGTTGCACTTGAGGCTGTGAGTTCGAATAGAGGTATGCATTTTCAGAAAATTCATCTGCAAACTAACTTAGAGCGGTTTCACATTCTGTCGATGTTGCAAATATAAACCATGATTAGGGAGTTTACACTAGTTTGCGCACTCATGTCGGCTCAGTAGTTGTCTGTCAATTATCGCTTGGTATCGATGTCGTGTTGTAAATCGCAGCTACACATCGGGTACTACAGACTACCAAATATGACGAAGGCAGCGCAAACGAGCTGAGCAGCTGTTGCAGTAGAGTGGCGTACATTACGCCCGATCTGCTCTGCTTTTGCTAATTCTGCTTTGTCATCTTATTTTTCCTTTCACAGGTGACGTTTTGATCTCGGAATCAGGGATGCTAAATGTAAATGGCCTCAGCGGCAGCACAAATTATTCTGGTGGCAATCAGGCTAAATCGCACAGGTTACCAAGTATACCTTCATTCAAGCTCGATTGCAACTCCAAGATCTTCACCGATCCAAACTATCAGCCTGACGACTTACAGTCAGGCACACGCCAGAGCTTAGGCTCCCACCAATCACTAGGACATGAGTATCAGGGGAACTTCGACACACGGGATAACTTTGTGAATTCACCTGGGAGCACCCGTGCTTCCCTGTCGGGACTGGTATGTTACAGATGCAACGTATATTAACTTATTGGCGTATAGTTTTTTTTTGTTTTGTTTTTTGATACCCCTTATGCCTCGAAAAGTTTGTGTATTCATCATTTTTCCTTCTGTATTTGCAGGGAGATGGCTCGGCAACCCCCGTAGACGAGTTGAATAACTTTTTATTCGCTCAACAACAAGCTGGTGGCGGGTTTTCACCAAACACTGCGAACAGCCACACTCTGACTCAGGCAAACTCTATGCCTATGGGTAGCAATTTCAGTATGTAGTAATCGGACCTCCTTTTGTATGTGCGATGTACATATACTTTCGGTCTGGTTGCTCAGGCTTGAGAAACCGTTCTTAGTGTGAATTTCACAAGTGCACAGTGCACGCACACCGCCCCAACTACCAATATTGGAAAACATGGACCTAGCCGCTAACTCGTCAAAAGCAGTACAGGTTTTGCATATGTGTGATTTGACGTGAAGATAAATTTGGCTTCATTTGTCTTTGTGTATAAGTGTCTCATGCAACGCTGGCCACTCAAGTATACTCGTTTTTCTATCAACACATTTTATCATCTCCCGCGTATAGATGGATCTGGCGGGAGCTTGAATGCTATGCTTGGCCAAACGGGCGGCATAGCGTCTCCGAATCAATATCATGGCTCACAACCGGGCCTTGACGAACTTTCCTTTAATGACTTTCAAGCGAACTCACAGAGGCGCATGACCGCACCTCAAGCGAACAACAATTACACGAATATGGTATGTTGTCGTCTTGCCTAACCTCGTTCACTATTGGTTGGTTTCTTGTCTGTTATTATAGGCTGATTTTTATACTGGAAATACTTGTTTGGCCAAAGCCCCTGCCGTTTAGAGTTGCGGACGGTAAAGTGATAACCCTACCACACTGTCAACTAAAATACCACTGTCAACTAAAATACGTTGCATAATTTTCCCATGGCAAGTATTATACTTTGTACTGGAGCAGACGAGTGTTTTTTTTCTTCTGTTGCGCCGTGCCTGATCGCTCCGTTCGTTTGCGTGCAAACTACTGTATTTTTTGTCTAGGTGTTGAGTCAAGATTATAAGCCGATTACAAAATCACAGAGAAGTCTAAGCACCTGTAGCAATGTTTACCACTCCGGAGCCTGGTGATTTTATAAATTTCATGTGCGCCAACTTCAACAACGCAGTAGTTGGTGTACGATTCTTTGCTAAACCAATCTTACTATGTTCTGCAGGGCGGGGACGTATTTCAGCCGCCATCATTTCCCTCAATGCGTCGAACCACTTTAGACAGCTCAATGACCGTGCCGCAACAGCATAGGCAACAGGTGTACACTCTCAATTCATATCCCTCCATAAACTCTGCCGGGCATTCCCCTAGTGTCAGTCCACACACGTAAGTTGTTTCTGTCCTTTGTTTGTATCAGATATCACTGGTGGATGTCTGAGTGCGCAATTCCGTGCGTTCTTCCTGGTACTGTTGCTCGTGTATGATTGACAGAATTAAAATCCGAACTTTATGTGAATTTTAATGAATATTCTATGGTCGGTGAGTCAATTGCGTATACACTTACTGAACGACGTGTTCTGATGGGTGTTGAAAGTTGCAGTTATTTTCTATCTACATGGCGGATGCAACCGGTGATCGGATATATGGCTGTCCTGTTTCTGCAATTAGGTTGAGATTTTGCACTAACTATACCTGTCGGGGTAAAAAAACATGCAGGTCACCGCACACTCAAAGATCGCCGAAGATGACCAATCGCACATCTTTGTCTGGGGCACATGCCACTCTAGGTATCCCATACCCGGTGTCACCAGGAAATCAACGCAACACTTCATCACAGAGCTATGGACAGAATGCATTATATACGCATGGTTCCAGTGCTTCTCCGGCATTCTCGTCCGGTGCACAGGGATCGAATATGTACAACTCGAACAACAACGTGGGGTCGGGGGTATTGTTCTCGCACAATCAAGCACACGGGCACATGTACGGTAATGTCGGCTGGAACCCCGTACAATCAGCAATGAACTCGGGCGGGGCGGGAGGTCACATGCCACCGAGTACGCCGGATCGATTATGCATAGAGTGCGGCACTTCGAAAACACCTCAGGTATACCGTTCGTGTCTTAGGTAGAATACCTCATTGTTTTGTCTTGTCAGGAAATTGGGAATAGGTATCTAATCATTCTCGTGATTGTTTGTGAACCTGTTTTAATTTTTTTGCCTTTGAGTGTTGTCAAGCATTGTACTTGACATAACAGGTGCTTCCTCGCATTCGTACAATGCTGATGTGGTCGTTCTCGAGCACCGTTCCGCAGATCCGTGCAATATTTTAAGATAATACCTTCCTCGCTACTTCCAACCTATTCGTCTCGAGTTTTTTCATGGGCAGATGGAATGTGTCGCATTCCCATGTTGTTTACATCTCTAAACTCACTTGCAATGATCCGGTTATTATTATAGTGGCGAAGGAGTGAAGACGGGTCGGTTTCACTGTGCAATGCATGTGGATTGAAACTAAAACATAAACTCAAGAAGCAGCAGAAGCTGAAGGAGAGTAACGCAGCTAAAGAAAATGAAGGCAAAGAGAAAGCACAAGACAACAACACCTCCAAAAAGAATACTTGATCCGGGCCGAAGGAGTAATACACAACAGGTGTAGGCCAACTCACTGTCAAGTTAACAGAACTTGCAAAGGAAACATTGGTCGAAGGCCAAATTCTTGTTTGCTGAGACTAACGTCGCTTTTTCGTCATTCTATGGGTTTTTTTACTCCAATGGGACTGCCATATGTGTTGTCGCGACATGATTCAGCTACTTTGGTCATTCTGTAAATGCGTGTCTGAAGCAACCGGGATACTGATTTTTGCCGCCGGTCAGCGTTGTTCCAGTATTCATACGTGGAACTTATTCGCATTCGTGTGAGGCCCTTTTGTATTGGGATTCATGCTTGCGGACTGCAATCAAGCACATAAAGACTTCTGATCAATTGATAATTGATCAGGCTGGCCGAATCAAAATGCCGCAGTGTGGCAGCACCGCCCAGGTGTCCTCTTTGTATCTCTGCAGGGGAAGGTATATCACTTAATGGTATATCTCTTGATAGAAAGAATAAAAAAATCAACGATGAGTAGTGCATCGTATGCCCATGCATGGACTGGCCATACCAGTAGTTGAAAGGTGTGCATCGAGGCCATACACATATTCTAATTGAGGGAAGAACTGATTTTTATTTTATGCTGGTTAACTTCATTTTAATGAATTTGCCAACCATGGCCTCTACACCAACAGAGATCTGTATTTATGTTATCGAATGATAAGCCTGGTGATATCGCATTCCTTGTATTCCTTTGCTTGCTCCGGGCTGTATTGTCGATGTGTCTGCGATGAGAGAGCTGATCTGCCCTGTAAATCGGTGGTTTAAGTCTGCAAATGAAAACTTGATAACACTATTTAAACTTTTCAAAGCACCGCGCCATATGGAAGGATAGGCTAGTTAAAGTATATAGCTTGCGAGACAGAAGTCTATAGAAGTAGGCCAACGTGCTTGTTCAACGATAAATATACACCTCGTATCTGTAAAGTTCATGCATCGGGCTCAGAAACAGCGATCCCATTTAATACATCGAAAACGAAACTTAATTGCATGCTACCATAGTGTCGAAGCACAGACATATTCCTCAGTTTCAAGCAGAAATTGATGAAACGGGAATTTACTGGCCACTTCTTCCTATCGATCTTCCCCGAACCACTACAACGGCTATGAGAGCCATACCATATGTACATACATTGTATCCTATCTCCTTTGAAATAGATGATATTATCCCTATATATCGTTCGAAAGTACACTGCATTACTAAACCGAAATGCTTTAGCACCGGGCCGCTTTTGACGCGTATATTGGTACCACGATAGGAGTGTCAAATAAAAATTCCCCCCCCCCATACACACACTCATTGTAAGAATAAAAACGATATAGTATACCGTGCTCATTGGCGATATTTAAATATGCTCTGGAAACGTTGATTCAGCTATAAAGGCGATATGCAATTTAGCCCAATCGCTTAGATAAAGCTTCATTGCGCTAGTTCTCAACGATGCGTTTGGACATACTCAACACGACTATCAAAATTTGATTTTCTAATTATTTAAAATGCTGTATTTGGCCGTATGCGTTAGGCACAACGCATTTTGCATTAAATGCGTAGCGCATAATTCATGATCTTCTTCATGGAATGCGAGGGCAGATAATATAGTGGTCTATCTGAGCTGAGATCAGACGCTTCGCCTTAGGATTCAAGCTCATTTTCCGAGGACTTGGTGTTTTATCGTTATTTTTAATGCAAACTTAAATATTCGGATCGCATTGGTCTACACACCCAGATAATATATTCATTTTTAAATAGAACCCCTTGTTAAGAACGAAACATATGTAATTGAGAATGTGTATTCGTGTGATGTGCCGTTCTCTAACATTGACAACACAATACATATACAATACATTGATAAAAAAAAATTATCGTGCCAGAGTTGAAGTATTGTCGTTCTCGATGGCACCCTCAGAATCTGGAAACTATCCGTATTAGTGTTCCTGTGATTAAATTTAAGTTGACCTCGGACAGGAGACAAATGTTTCCTAGCACGAAGAGTAAATTGCGGACAAGTACATTCTATCCAAGCTGCCAAGTCTCAGCTTTGGCTGACATGGAAGTACAATATGAAATTAAGTTGACGTGTCCGACTCATGTTGACAAAAAAATTTCACTGCAAATCTTCTAGCGCGAAATAGAAAATCAGGGGCATTCAGTCACAAGCCAAAATATTCTCTGCATCTCCGCTCGTCTAATCATAAGGCGGCCGGAATCAGTCCAAGATTCGGTTAAACACTTGGATTGATGCAGGCGTTGGGTCAATTCCACTACAATCACAATAAAATGTTAACATCAAAGAGGATGGGGGGTATACATCATCATGAAGTATTACCGGGTCAAATTTTATATCAAGTATTCACAAAACATATCCCAATTTAGACATTGGTAATCAGCTAAGTGGATATACCTAGTGCTATCAAGGTGGCTACTTTTTACTTTCTACATAATATCTGTATAGCAATTGTGGTTCAGTTGATAATATGTACAATTTTGCATTGCACAGGATATGAACTTACAGAAACGTCTTAAATTATGCTGCAGAACAATA